ATGATAGTGTTGACCCTAATGTTCATTTACATAAATTTAATCAAAAGAAAATAAAAGTAAAATACCATTTTTGCCCTTTATAAGACATGGGCAACCATTCTATTGGCTATATTTGGTTAATTTTATTTTCTGTACAAAAAAAAATATTAAGGGCATTTTTGGAATAAAAAATCATGGGCCTAATAGAAAAACAAACACTCCTTAATGAAAGGTTGATTAAATAAATAAGCTGTAAAATATATGGGATGTTTTAATAAAATGGAAACTATAAGGTAGGTTTAAGTAAATATGTAAAACTATAAGATGTGTTCTAGTAAATGACCCTAATAGAATATCTTAAGGGTAACAATTGTTTTATATTTTCAACTTTTTAAATAATTAATAATTATTCATATTTTATATGCTACATTTAATAAATTTTTTATAATACAAAAATAACATTAATTTATTTCAGTTAGGTTTATTCATCAAACTGATGAAACCGACCAACTCGATCAGCTCGACCCGAGTTGGTCGGTTTTCTAGTATTTTAAGTCAGCTTTGGTTCAAAAATTTCCCAATTTGACTAAGTTGGATTAATTTCACTTTGGCCATTTATAAATCAACCAAAATCGAATGACCTGACCATGGGTATATATTAATATTTTATATTTTAAATATAATTTTAAGTGGGAAATTTCCCATATTTCTTAGTCTAAAATGTTTATATCATAAATCTAATTTTTAAATTTATTTTTTTAATAATTACACTATAATTTATAAAATTAAATTAAATTTTTAAGTTTAAATCTTTTGAACCGACTAACCAAACCAAAAAATCGACCCAAACCGATACAACTTGAGTGGGTCAGTTTTTACAAAAGGTCAATCGGTTTCAGCTGACCAACTCCCCAACTTGACCAACTCCCCAACACTCATAATTTCAATTAAATTAATAGTCTCATCTTTGATAAATAACAATAGTTTAGTCTCCAATAATTATTGAAAATTTATAGCAAAAATACATAATTATTGAAAATATATTGATAATGAAAAAATACAATAAATACTAAAAATATATTAACTTAGTCAATAAATAGTATAATCTCAAATAATAGTTTAATCTCTAATAAATATTAATCAATAAGTTATAACAAAAATACAATAAATACAATAAGTACAGTAAATTAAATTTAAAAATTTCGCTAATAGTAGTTTAATCTCCAATAATTATTGAAAGTTTTCTATTAAATAGAAAAACAAAATAAATTTATACATAATCATTGAAAATACATTTATGACAAAAACAATAATTACTGAAATACAATAAATATTAATTTTAGTATATATAATTATATAATAAATACAGATTAAGAGTTTAAAATTATTATTAATAAATATTAATTTTTTTTGAAAGTTATTTTCTCGAATTATTACTTGATATATATACTTTTTAGAATTTTTTTAAATTTATTACATAATTTCTTTTTTTTTAACTATTTAAAATCTAGTTATGTTAAATATTTTGTTATTTAAAATACCCAATTATTTAAATACTTAAATAATATATACAATATTTAAAATTTAGAATATTAGTTATTTATGGAATTTAATTATCCATAAAATCATAATTTATACTATTTTTACATAATTTCATTATTAATTTGGTAATATATTAAATTATTGTTAATTTCAATATTATTTTATGATTAATTTTCTGCTTTAAAGAATTGTTTTAAATTTATTACATAATTTCGTTATTTAACTATTTAAAATCTAGTTATGATAAATATCTAGTTATTTAAATATTTAAATAATCAATAAAATATTTAATTTTTTTTGTTATTTGAATTTTATTTATTTATATCTATTACATATTATTTAAATGTTTGAGAGACATTTAATCTGATTATGAAAAAAAACATAATTTAAATTGTTAGTACATAATTTCATTATATATTTTGTAAAAATATAAAATTATTTATTAGATAATTTTGTTATTTTAACTATTTAAATTATAGTTATGATAAATATTTAGTTATTTAAATATTTGAATATTTTATTAAAATTTTAAATTTTTTGTTATTTGAATTTTATTTATTTAAAGCTATTACGTATTATTAAATATTTGAAAAGCATTTAAATTGATAATCCAGAAAAAGATAATTTAAATTTTTAGTACATAATTTCGTGATATATTTTGTAAAAATATAAATTTTTATTTTGTGTTTTTAATAAATATTTTAAAGTTATTGTATAATTTTGTTAGAAATTATCTACTAAATAGGAATTATAGATAATTTAGGAGATAAACTCTCTACTAAATTAAAGATAATTGTGGAGATAAATAGGATTTAGAGATAATTTAGAAGATAAATAGGAATTAGAGATATTTCTGGAGAAAGTGGGGGAGGTAGTTTAGGATAAATTTTAGGGGGAGAGATTATTTAGGTTATTGGGAAATTGCATCTCATTTGTTGTTTCAAAAATGACATGGAACAAAAAAAAAACAAAAAATTCAAAAAAAGGAGAAAAATTCTTGACCGCTTTGTTTTAATATATATATATATATATATATATATCGACTAAAGTATCGACACTTATTGGCCCGTATCGGCCAATATGTATCGTATCAGGAGCACCTCGATACATCCCTATAGAGGGTGTATCGGGGTTTTAACCGATTTAGGGGGTGGAGGAGCCTTAAACTGTCCCCTGAACCGGTTTTAAAAAAAAATAAAAAAAGTACCGATACTGCCCGATATGCCCCTATCAATATTTAGAACCTTGTACATAGATTTCTTTTTTCTTGTTACTACGCTATTTCATAAGGTTAACACGCTTTAATTAGTGACATAATAATAATAATAATAATTAATAATAATAATAATAATAATAATAATAATAATAATAATAATAATAATAATAATAATAATAATAATACTAATAATTCATTAAAAAAGCTAAAATAGATTATGCTTCCTTTGTTTTTTACATTTAATTTAGTTATGTAAATGGTTGTTAGTGGAAACAAGGTATGGACATGCCTGGGATTAGGAATTTAGGGTTAGGGCTAAAATTGAAAGTGGGAATAAAAGTAAAGTTGAAATTGAAAGAAATAAAAAATAAACAAAATCCACAGGTTGGGATGAGTTTGAAAAAAAAAATCCTAGAACAATTTAACCTGATTCAGTGATTTGAGTTGTTAAAATTTATTTGAGTCTTCTTTCTTTTCTTTTTCCTTCTTTATTTTATTTACATGGTCTCCTCATCCTTTGCAAATGGATACTTCCATTTATTATCTGAATCGCCCAATTTTGTGGGCCCAGCCCAGAAGATTTTCCACCATTAAATGCCCTTAATTCTCCCGTTGCCGCAAACACCCTGAAAAAATAATTTCCATTTATTCTTGTAGACAGTTAGACACCATTGATAATCGGGTATGGGTAGCAGCTACCCATTTAACAATAGGTTTAAGGAGATGTAATCAACTAATCATGTAACAGATTGGATTCGTAATCCAACGGTCATATTATTTCCACAGACTCCGTTCTTCGGTTGCACAAATTTCCACAGACTATGGAAAATAACAGAAAAACGAAAATTTAAAATAAAATAAGAAATAGAAAAAAAGAAAGGACGTATCAGTCAATTCAGTAAAAGCTTAGGTTCCGTAATGGAAAAGCAGCTCCTACGTTCCTCTTCTCTGAGGAAAGCGTAAGTGCGTAACAAGTGTAAACACCCCGTCGACAAGTTATCAGTCTGTTTTGATCACGTGTTTTCTTCTCCTTCACACCGCGTTTTGTAGTCTCCTCTGTCTCACTCCCTCTACATCTCAACCTCCACTGAGATTTCTTTCTCTCTCCTCAGTGTACGTAAAACAAAAGTTGATAACTTTTCTTTTTCTGGACATGTAAACTATTTCTCTCTGTTTTCTCTTTCTCTCATTCCGTCTCTCGTCCAATCTCCTGTTATTCGGTTTCTAATTGAAGGAGCTCATCCGGGATGGATGATCACACGATAGAAGAAATACTCAGGAGATTATAGTAATTTTTCTTTTATATAATCAGGAGAATAATTTCCCGAAATAAGAGGAAATAAAATAATCCATTTTAGATATTAACCAATATCAGTCCAAATTTATCTTTCACAGTAATTTTAAAAAATAACCACTAAAATTATCCTCATCAATACTTATTTAATAACTTATTAAAAACCAAATCTCAATCACTGAAAGATTGGGATTGCTTTAAATGAATGGTTTTTGTAATCAAAGAAAAATACAGATTTAAAGACAACGAACGTGTACAACTCAATCAGGTATATGAAATCTAGGTGCTATTACAAAGTTTTGGCCGATTAAAAAAATAAAAGGATATTAGTAGATATTCGTGCTCAAATAAAAGAAATACATAAGAGTAAATAATTATTTTATATTTTAAAATATTAAATTACTATTTCAATTAAAATAATTCAATCAAAGTGAATGAACAACTCAATCATAGATTTCAGAAAAAGAATAAAAATGGGAGTGAAACCATAACACCTGATTTGGAGAGAAAACAACATAAAAATTCACTTTACAAATCAGATTGCTTTGTATTTTCTCTCCACCATGCCACACGAGCTTTGAAGTAGGCTTTGATACCACAGAAAGACCTTAATGGTAGCGGTGATAATTCAGGAATGTGTGCAAAGTTAGAACAGAGGGCCTAAACTTCTTCAACAGCGCAAGTGGAAGTAATGTTATATCATAACTAAAATTGTTAATAATCAAAGTGAAATATGTTTTCAGTAGTTCAAAGTGTACTTTAGATTACTTTGGATACCAATACATAAAACTGTCCACAAATCTCTCTAAATGGTTGAAATTAACATCCACATGAGACACTTGTCTCTGATTGTTAGAGACATTTTCTCAACCAATATCTGGATTTATTGGGATTTAAGTGCATTTTATTATTTTCCAATTATTGGGTGTTTTTTTTTTTGTTTTTCCGTGCTTAGCAACCAGTATGAGAGCTCGCACGGGGGGATCTTTTTAGCTCTCTAGGGTGGTTTCAATGTGGCTTCTCTCCCTTTTAGACTTCTCTTTCCACTTAAAAAAAGATTGGTTTTTGTCTTCGTTTTCTTTTTGTCCTGTTGTTTTTCTGGGCTTCTGAGAAAATCTGGAATAAGTATGCTCTGCTTTGCTGTTTCTGTTGTGGAGACATGAATGTTGACAGGCAATTGTTTTGGGAGTTTTGGCAGGATTTATTTGGATAATGGAGTTTGAAGTGGAGAAGGGTTTAAGGAGAAATCGGCAATTTAGTGGAAATTCAATTTCAGGGAAGAAAATCAGAGCTTCCAGGCAAGATTTCAGGAGCAGTTTTGTTTGAGACCAGTTGGGTAGCAGAGGCGGCAGAAAAATAGTAAATTTTGATTTTTGACGAGGGTGATGGACTTCATCAGCGGGGTTTCGATTCCAGGAGGTAAAGAGCAGCAGATACAGGGCTCCTGGATTCCGGTTACCCCTGCAAGACCCGTTCCTACAAGACCGCAGCCGGTTCCCGTCAACAGAGAAGGGAGCCAACTAGAGACGCAGAGCGACCCTCCTGAACTCCTCCAGGGGACTCCAACTTCAAATGAGGCAGTTAGATTTCATGATTCTGTGCTGTTGGTAGATCACAGCATAGCACTTGACAATTGGGAAGCTGCTTTGGCTGGGAATAACAGAGGATCTATTAACATGGCTGGCACTCACACACAGGCTTTCACAGACGCCTCTGCATGCTGGAACAGTAGTCTTTTTGGAGACCTCTTTGCTTCCACAACCCCGTCTTCGGCAGCTGTTCCTCAGTGGGGGAACAACAATGTGGTAGACAGCTTCTTTTTCCCCACTGAGTATTCCAATATTGGACAAGGATCATCCAACTCTGCTCGCTTGTTGCTTGAGAACCAAGGCTTCCTGCAAATACCACCCCACAGTGAGTAACCCGTTTCTCTTCTTCTTTTACTACGCCAAAAGAACAAATTTGCTGGTGCTTTATTTGCTTCAGAGGCTTTCCTTCCAGTTGATCAAAATTCTTTTCTATCCAGAAAGAATGTAGTTGAGTTCTTTTGCACTTGCTTTTTTTTTTCTGTTTTTGTTTTTTTTTTCTTTTTTCTGATTATAAGAATGTAATGCTGTAAATTCTACAGATGGGTTTCCTGTTTCTCATCGTCCTACCTATGATCTTAACGCCTTGCCCAAATCTGTAACCGATAATGTCATGGATGGAGCTACATCCTTCCAGTTCGTACCAATAACACCAGAGAAGGGAAAGAGAGTTGAGAATCATCAGCTTTCTGAAATAGCCAATATCTCAGTAGAAGAAAGATCAAATGAGGGAAAAGAGAAGCACGAGCTGAGCAAACTAAATGAGGGTAACTATGCCGAGCTTGAGCTTGCCGGTGAAAAACTTCCAGAGCCCATGGTTGATGCGTCCTTTACTTCTTTGGCTGGCGAGAATAACCACAGAACTGAGGAGAATCATAATCGTGTCAAGGGAGGTGACCATGTCATTGTGGAAAATCAGAATCCAGCAAATGGAGATGACCACCACCTTGACCTGAACAAGACACCACAGCAGAAGCCAAAAAGGAAAAAGATCAGGCCCAAGGTCGTTGTAGAAGGCAAACCCAAAAGGCCTCGAAAGTCAGTTACTCCCAAGCAGACAAGTGCAAAAGAAAACCCTTCTGGGAAGAGGAAGTATGTAAGAAAGAAAGGCCTCAGAGCCTCAGACACCCCTCCAGCAGCAGTACTCGAGAAGACTAATGATCCATCAGTTGAGCGTGCTGTGAGGTCTTGCAAGCGTGCTCTGGACTTCAACTTAGATGACCAAACAAGAGTTGAAACGCCAGGAACATCATTCGGTCATCAGGAAGGACTGCCGCATAGAAGGGACAACTCAGCATACATGTGGGATCTAAATTTGAACTCAGAATCTCAAGAGCAAGATTTATGCACTGGAATTAATAGTGGCTCTAGAACAAGATCCACCGTGCAGCTTGGGCAAGGTATTGAAGTCACAGTACACAACACAGCAGGAGGAATTGCATACGACCTTAACTGTTCCATGAATCAACTGATCAAAGACTACATTTCACTGCCTGAAATTCCAGCCCCCACAACCCCAGTATCTCAAAGGAAAGACCTGAAAAGGAGAAATTTGAAGGTACTTGCAAGGAATAGGAATCAAATAGGGACAACAATTGCATGCCAAAATAATGGAGAAAATGACCATCAACATCTTATGCATCAGCATGCCCATGTGGACAGAACAGGTAATTTGGCCTTAAATACTGGAATTGCTTCTGTGAACAATGAAGGTGCTGCACCAATAATACTACAGAGTGGTCCACAATTGATACCAAAAAGTAGTAGTCATCCTGATAGTAGTGTCCATGTACCAGTTGCTGAGACCACACAAACAAGGGGATCAAAGAGGGGGCATTCTCACTCTGTAGATGGAACACATCTCTGCTCCATGAATCTAACTGGTGTCCAGTACAATTCGTTCAAAGCATACCAAAGTATACATCAAGGAAATGAACTCCAAAGCAAAAGCAGTCCTTGCATGTACTTTCCTGAAATTTACAAGAAAAAGAGGACTAAGAAATCACGGAATGCCATATTTAGCACTTCAGCTTCTGCGGCTTCTTTAGAAGACAGTTGCAACCAAGCAAAACAAACCTACTATGGAAGACTGGGCACCCGACTTTCTGGTATTGATGGCACATGGAGGCCGAAGAATGGGGTTAATAAATCCATACAAGATGTCTATGTAACTTCTACTTCTGCACAGCACCATCACCCAATGCAAAATGTCTCCAAAGAATTACTTTGGCACACAGATGCACCACAGGGGACTGCCATTGATGATCTGCAAACTTCCCAGTTTATGTTGACTTTTGGCTTCATAGCAAAGACTAAGAAGAAGAGATCAAATCGTCCTTATCGGGTCCGTGATTTGGCCTCCTTAGCTGCAATTGCTCAGTGTACCCAACTGCCACAAAGCCACCCCAGAACTCCAATATCAGGCAACAGACAAAGATCTGATACTTTCCATGCACCTCAGTCCTGCCTGGAAGCCCTCGCTTCAGATAACTATCCAAAGATCATTACCAAGAAGCGGGCTAAGAGATCCTCTCATATCAATTTAAAGTTGTTCTCCAGTACAAATGCATGGCAGCTCCAAAAACAGAAAGGTTCTTTCTATGAGTCTCTGACCAAATCAATAGGTAGTACAGATATCCATTCACAAAATAGAATCTTCAAAAAACCCAATCTTCTTCAAGGCAATTCATTTCACAATCATCAAATCAGAAGTAACAACTTTTATTTCACATTTGATGCAGGTTGGCCTTATATGATTTCAATAGACGAACTTGTTTACAGATTAAAGCATCTGACCATCAGCACCAATAGAAATGCAGGGAAAGAGCAAAATGCACTAATTCCTTACATTGGAGATGGCAGAATAGTTTCCTTTGAAGGACCAAGGCGGAAACTGCGGCCCAAAGTTGACCTTGACCCAGAAACAAATAGAGTATGGAATCTTCTGATGGGGAAGGAAGGCAGTGAAGGCATTGATGAAATGGATGAGGATAAGAAAAAGTGGTGGGACAAAGAAAGGACAATATTCCACGGAAGGGCAGCCTCCTTCATTCAGCGCATGCATACTCTTCAAGGTACAACATGTCCAACAAAATATTTGCTTGACAAACTTTCTAACATATACAAAGTAATGGGGATGAGCAACCTTCATCATTGATATATCTCCTGTAACAGTATTTTGGGGCAGCCAAGTTGAAATCAAATAGATGGACATTTAGCATCAATAGCCTCAACTAGTAAATGAAGAGACTGAGTATCAGCAATTAGAAGATGAATAAGAGGAAAGTAAACCAGATAATAGCAATTAGAAGATGAATAAGAGGAAATATATAATGAAATACCCCATACCAGGATGGTCATATAAAAAAATTCAGTGACTTCCTAATATTAAGATAGCATCTAAAGGCAACTTTACTTCATAACCTTCATATATGATACTAGAACTTAAGTAAAGCCAAACTTCCCATTCCAAGAAAAAAACAGTTAAACTTGAGTCAATAACCAACAATGAAATTTACTTGGATCCTCCTACAGTGTGAGAGCATTGAAAGTAAACATATGAAATTACAAAAATAAATCCCATGAGTGTTAAAAACCAAACATCAAACAAGAAAATCAAAGGTTAAGAAATCAAAAAGGAGAAAAACAACACAACAATAATGTGTCCAAAGGCATTTAGAGCACACACCCTTAGGCATACCTTGAGGTAACATTTTCCCAAAACCCCCTGAGGCATCTCTATGAAGAATCAGAATCACATGAAGTGTATTCTCCACCTCTCAAGTCATGAAAAAATGCATATACCCCAAGAGTGATGCACACTTTTTACATGCTTCAAGCATGGCAGATGGCACATATGGTTCATGTGCATGCTACAAAAATAGAAAAAGGCTGAATTCAATCAGATTTGGGGGAGGGGGGGGGGGAAGAGTTGACGTACCTCTCATTTTATGTTCTGTAGGCTCCATTTGGGAAGAGTGCAATTACAAATTTGCAAGGTTCATGAAAATGACAACATTTGTATTTGCACTCTTCCCAAATGGAGCCATAGCTTCAACTAAGGGAAATGAAACACTAAAACCTTCTTCCAAGAAAGTAGAATCCCTTGACAAACCACAAGCTTGTGAGTGATAAATGTAAGTGTTGAATTTCTAGCATACACCCACAAGATGCTATTTTCAATATCGAGGAACCAATAGCAACAAAATTCCCAATCAGCCATTTCATGACTTATTAGACATTCCTAGATACTGCTTGCTAGTAGACGTTGGGGCTTCCACAATCTACATGTATTTACTAACAGTAAAGTGATACACTTAACAGGGGATAGACGCTTCTCACAGTGGAAGGGATCAGTTGTGGACTCTGTGATTGGTGTCTTTCTTACTCAGAATGTATCTGACCATCTGTCTAGGTAAGCTCTGAAAATAGATATTAGAACAAAATTTCCTCCATGGAAATAATGTAAAAAAAATTGGAATTGATCTCTCATTTCTTTCTTTTTTTGCAGCTCTGCCTTCATGGCCCTGGCTGCACGATTTCCACTTCGGGCAACAAATAACCACGAAGCATATCAAGAAGATGGAATGGACATATTAATTGAAGAGCCAGATGTGTGCATACCAGACTTAGATGACACAATCAAATGGAATGAAAAGATGTCAAACCGACCAGTCTGTGATCAAGAGTCCATGATACTTCATGATGCAGAGCACATGGAAGAAAGGGAAATGGCAAACAGCAATGAATCATTTGAAAGCAATGTGTTAAATAGCAGCCCCACTGACAACTCAAATAGCAGACTGACTGTTGTTCAGGACAGTTTACTAGAAATGTTCCACGAATCACCAGAGAACAGAACAGATAGCATAACCACAAGGACAGAATTTCAGGATTTTGCAGAAGTGGAAGATAGAAGAGAGAAGGAGGATGTTGTTTCATCTCAAAACTCTGTAGACTCTTCCATTTTTCAGATCACTGAGAGGATCAAATCATTCCCAGAGTCCAACTCAGAAGAAGAAGATCTGGCAACAGGACACAAATCTAAGAGTTTTAACGCTAGAACTTCGTTCACAGAGCTTCTACAGATGTCAGAAACCACCAAATTTTTGGAATTTTATAACTATGAAAGTGATAACATATTAGATAGTTTGGAAGACTCATTGGAATCGATTTTCCCATCCAATTACCTTGACCCCCATGCACAAGTACCCATCATTCCTTCTAGTAAAGACAATTTGCACATGATACCAGAGTTGGGTGTTCTAGAAGTTGATAGTCTTGAGGTGTTAGGAGAAGAAATCAGATCTTCCTTGCCTTCAACTTTATCAGAAATTTCTGAGTCAAAAGAAGACTGCATGGTGAAGGGACCTGGACCAGTTCCAGATACTGTAAGTGAAATGATCATTAAACAAAATGAAACATCAAGTGGTGAGACAGCACAAAGAGCTGATTCAAGTGCTTCTTCAAGCAATCACACTGACACAGTGAACCAATTATGTAGCTCACCATCAGAAGCCTGCAGCAAAAAAGATCCACATTCTAGCAGACATCAACAAGAAGAGAGGATAGAGAATTCTCATCCAAAAGGCGTTCCAATTGCAGAAACTAAAAAACTTGATGTACTTACTGAAAGGCAGAATAGTTCTGGAGATGCTTTAGACGTTATGGAAAGCACATGTTTAATAGGTAAACAAAAACCCATAGACATGGAGGTGGTAAAATCTAATTTTCTAGAGCAAATGCCTGCTGGGATAACTAAGGATACCATGAAACAGAAGAGAGGAAAAGTTGAGGCAGAAAAAAGTAATGAATTTGACTGGGATAATCTAAGAAGGGAGGCTTATGCCAAAAGTGGAAAAAGAGAAAGAAGTAGTGATATGATGGACTCGCTGGACTGGGAAGCAGTGAGATGTGCAGATGTTAAAGAGATTGCTGATACCATCAAAGAACGAGGAATGAACAATAGGCTTGCAGAGAGAATCAAAGTAAGTTAATTCCATTCTATTTAAATGACCCACATGTCTCAAAAAGAAGAAATAACAGAAATAACTATAATGGAAAGATTATTTTCTTCAGGTGAACCCACCAGGGTGAAAACTTTTTATTAAATGTAACAAGCCCTTACAAGAGCTAAGCTAACCATAGTCAACGTAATTTTTGCAGGATTTCCTCAATCGACTGGTTAGAGAACATGAAGGCATTGATCTTGAGTGGTTAAGGGATATTCCCCCTGATAAAGCCAAGTAAGTCCAAGGCATCCTCCTTGGAAACATAACTTCATAAATTCAATTAGGTTACAGATTAGTCAATTGTGGTTTTTTTAAAATGCTTATTACTTGTAGGGAGTACCTCTTGAGCGTTCGAGGATTGGGGTTGAAAAGTGTGGAGTGTGTACGCCTTTTGACACTTCATCATCTTGCTTTTCCGGTAAGGTTTAAGTTGGAAAGTGTTTTTATAATAAAGTAGATAAAAAACTAGCACTTGGATGGGTTCTAGAATAGCCACATAAAGGTCATTCTTTCCTTTTGCTCCTTAGGTTGACACAAATGTTGGCCGGATAGCTGTACGACTTGGATGGGTTCCACTCCAACCACTGCCTGACTCGCTTCAGTTGCATCTTCTAGAGCTGTAAGTGTTATATGAATACCAGTTAATAATGCTGAAATTTCCCATCACATGAATGGGCTAATCTTCTAGGGCACAGGTACCCAGTGCTAGAGACAATTCAGAAGTATCTTTGGCCACGGTTGTGCAAACTTGATCAGCGGACCTTGTAACTACTATTTACCTTTCACTAAAAGCTTCATTTTTCCATATATAAATTACATAAACCAGCAAGGTTACAAGAACCTAAAGCCTCATTCCTTATAAGGGAAAGCTATTATTAATTTAATGTCTGATGTCTTTACAGGTATGAGTTACACTATCAAATGATTACATTCGGAAAGGTATAATATGCCATTTCAAAGAAGGCCGATGCATTTTCTCCTCTCCACTAGTAATTCAAGCAGATTGAAGTGACTGCCATGATTTGTTTTATTCAGGTTTTCTGTACAAAAAGCAAGCCAAATTGCAATGCGTGCCCAATGAGAACAGAATGCAAACACTTTGCAAGTGCATTTGCAAGGTTCTGTCCAACACTTGTGAATAGATTAAATGTTTAACAGCATACAATAGGCATAGGCATGACCAAGTACTCCAGACCCAGGATCAGATTCCTTCTGTTCCCTCTGACAACAGACTGCTGACCTGCTTCCCCCATACACAGACTGGGATCCTATCATTCACACAAAGGATCTAAACCAACTAAATTCTCAACAACAGATCTTATATCATAATGTAACCAATCAGGTGATTATACAATTGAGTGAGCTATTGCATTATTTTAGAGATAAATAGATCATGTCATACATAAATGTAAATGATCAGATAAATAAGTATGATCTTTAAATCAAGTTGATCTTTGACCTTGCAATTCTACCTAGAGAGATAGAGAGATGGGGACAAAAATGATGACAACAATATTAAATGCATGCCATATTTTTCATGCACTAGATGACTGATAGAATTTGTTGGATGCAGTGCACGGCTTGCCCTGCCAATGCCAGAAGAGAAGGGTCTGGTAAGTTCAACTGCGCCCATTGTAGCTGATCAAACTCCACATGTGCGTACCCATCCAGTGCTACTACCTCCACCAGTGCCAAGCCCAGTCTCAGGAGCAACCTCTGAAACCCACAATTGTGAACCCATCATTGAAGTACCAGCAACACCAGAACGTGAATGTAAAGAAATAACAGAAAGTGATATTGAGGATGCTTTTTCTGAGGATCCTGATGAAATTCCAGTTATCAAACTCAATATTGAAGAGTTCAAGCTCAACTTGCAGAAATACATAGAAGAGAACAAAATGGAACTGCAGGAAGGTGATATGTCAAAGGCTTTAGTTGCCTTGACTCCAGAAGCTGCTTCTATTCCTGTAACCAAGCTGAAGAACATAAACAGGCTTCGAACAGAGCACCAAGTGTAAGTTGGGAGGCATCTTTCCATGTTCACATGAGGGACTGATAGCCATCTTGCTTATTCTGGTAAAGCTTTGAAAATTTAGGTTGGATAAAATCTGCATTAATAGATCAGTACATGTGAATGAATGGTCCACTGAACTTGCTTTGTCTCAGGTTGGCCTGGATCAATGCCCCAAAATGTTGACACCATACATGGATGTGAACTAGAAATTTTATCTTGTTGGGGGGGGGGGGTACTAAATTACTTGGCCATGTGAATTGGTTCTAAAGGAACCAGTTGATAACTTGTTCACCTTTTGATTCATAAGTAGAATAAATTAGAAGGCAGTTTTTTCTTTTAGAATTTGGTTACAATTACTAAAAGGGGGCACACTCATTTATCAAAAGAGTTATTACTTAAATGTAAAGCTTTGCTAAAAACAAACAATAAAGAACTATTACCATACAAAATTTAGGCCACAAAGAATTATGACATGTATGTATATATGATGGTAAAATGTTGTGCTGACAAGTGCAAGAATGCAGGTTCATATATGAGAATGGCTTCTTTGTGCAAAGGGTTCGACTATGATATGGGAAAGATATGATATCTGAACCTAACATGGATTCTTTGTGCAAGAATCCAGTCCATCCCTCCCAAGAACCTAAAATGTTTTTGGGCCTACATTAACGTTTCCAATTTTTTTTTTTGGAGAATAATAAGGAACCTGAATTACATTTTAAACATTTTATTGGGTGCCCCTACTTCAATATGCCTGTAGCCTGTAGGCATAATTTCAAATAATTAAGTCAGAAAAAAAAAGAACAAAAATCAGGTCTTACTGTCTTAGTAAGATGTCTGATATCATTGTTGACAAACAGGTAAGGTTTAGCAATAAAATTGATATTTAAAAAAAGTTTATTTATTATTTATAAATAAATATAGTTACTATGTTATAGCAACAACCTAATTCCTGCACCATGTGAGCTAACTGCTTTTCTCCTTTACTGCAGTTATGAACTTCCAGATTCGCATCAGCTTCTATTAGGGGTTAGTCATTTCTCTAAATTCTATCCTTGCAATTTTTATTGGATATTATACAACCAAAATAATTTGTTGATTATCATGCATTCTGAATTTTACAGGTGGACAGAAGAGAACATGATGATCCATGTCCATACCTTCTTGCCATATGGACACCAGGTAAGACTAATATCAGCAATCCAATGTAGTACTTGGACATTTATCCACCATAAATAGCCATGCTGGTCCAACAGCCATGCATCTGAAATGGTGAAATAATCCATGCACTTTTAAGTATGTTATGACAATGTGGTGCCAGTGCTGTAGTTTGCAGATTCAACGTCATTAGAAAAGGAATTATTTTTTAATAGATTGACACAAGCTATTTTCTGTAAAAAAAGTTATCAATATTGTTGGTTAACAACAACCGATATTCAATATCAGGTGAAACTGCAGAATCCATTGAGCCACCAAAGGACAACTGTAGCTCCCAAGGATTAGGAAACTTTTGTAATGAGAAAACATGCTTTCGTTGCAATAGCAAACGAGAAGAAAATTCCCAAACTGTCCGAGGGACACTATTGGTAAGAACAATAATGCTCATGTGCACATGATACCTATTGTGGAAAATGAATCCAACTGAGCCACTTTAGATAATGAATTGATATTTATAAAACCCCTGAACAGATACCCTGCAGAACAGCAATGAGAGGGAGTTTTCCACTGAATGGCACATACTTTCAAGTTAATGAGGTAAAAGTTATTTTATTAGGATCTTGTTACTGAAATTATTTCTATGCCTCAGTTGTTTTTTGTTTCTATTGAAATCTTAATGGGTACTATAATAAATTATCATCCAATGCAGGTGTTTGCCGACCATGATTCTAGTCTTAACCCGATTGATGTTCCTCGGGCATGGTTATGGAATCTGCGTAGACGGATAGTTTATTTTGGGACATCTATACCAACAATATTTAGAGGTAAACAAAATAACAGGGAAGGCCTCGATTCCCTAATTATATAGTTCACTTATAGAAATGACTAACTTCCAAAATGATACTTGCTTTCTAGGTCTATCACAAGAGGAAATTCAGAACTGCTTCTGGAGAGGTATGAACCATGTCCTTAAAGCCAGCATTGGCTCAATGCAATTACTGCAATCATCTTTCCTCTGTACTGTATAAAATATGAACAAGATGTGCACATATGTCCAGACTCAGAAATAGATTTAAAAGAAAATGCAAGGGTTCTGACCAAATGACTAGAGATATCTACTTCTAAAGGAAGTTCCATTTATATGATAGATTGATGTTCTCACTGCTCTCATAGGGCATTAGCATTCAAAGAAAAGCAGACTTCAGTCAATGCACTAGGCTGCACAATAACAGCTCAAAATTAAAATAAAAGTTTTTTATTGATAAAGGTGATCGTCCTCTCTGTAGTAGCAAATCTTGTATGTGTTCAAAATAAAAGAAATTTGTCCAATTTTTCAGGATCTCAAGGGGGTGTGGAAGTTGACTTTTTTTTTTTCCTTTCTTTGTCTTGCCAGTCAAGCCACATCACAAAGATTTGTACGATTTATCTATCAAAACAAACAAAAAATAAAATTCTAAGGTCTTATATAACAAATATACATGGAACGAATGGAACCCATTGAAAGGAATGAGGTCAACCGGTTGTTCCAACTCATGAAATGATCAACAGACTGCATTTCTTTTGGCTCTCTCTGTTCACACATTACTTTTGGCTACAAGTCTTAAAAACAGTATATACTTAAAGCTACAATTAGAAAAAAAGAAAAAAAAAATTAAAGCCATAATTGTGTTTGAAACTACACTGGGAGCATAATCCTTTTACAAAGTCGCAACAAGAATACAAAATACTTTCAGGAAAGGCAAGCATGATAGACTGGCATGCACCTGTCAAAACTTTGCAAGTAATTTTGGTCAATTGGCATCCTGAAGAAAACTTTAGTGCATTTTAGTGCATTGCTGTGCATTCTTTGCTTAATATTCCTGGAATTATTTGCAGGATTTGTCTGTGTAAGAGGATTTGACCAGAGAACACGGGTGCCACGCCCACTCCAATTGAGATTTCACTCTCCAGCAAGTAAGTTGCCCAAGACAAAAGCACAAACAGCAGGCCAAGAAAAAACACAACCAAATGAAAGGTAATGCCATGATGCAAAAACAAGGCAAACAGGAACCCAACCAGGATCTCTGTTTTAAGAAGAGATTGTTAGCTAACATACAACTGTACATCAAATGGCATCTCCCCTAACATGAGAAATGTTTATCAACTGCTACTAATTTCAGTTTGCTGGACGGGATTAAATAGGAATCAATATGTAAAACCCCATGGCAAGGATTAGTCTATACATGATTACCTTCTATAATTATTTCATTTCATGCTCAGAATCGAGCCATTCTTCCAGTTTGTGTACACATAGGAAATTCTGATAATCTTGTTTATATGTCAACTCTTAAGTTATAGAAAAACAAAATCCTTCACCTCCATCATACCTCCAACCGTTTATAAACAAGTATGGCTTTTCTTCAACACCTCTGGAGATTCATAGTATCTGAAAGGGACAAACTGAAGGCTGATCCTGGCTATCTGGGGTGGGTGGAAATTCAGTTGGCAGTTTCTCTTAAAATTGAACCCATGTTCTCATGCTCATGAGCCAAGATTTTACCATTGATGGTTTATGGTTATGGGAGTGTTATCAATGTAGATGTCTATTGTTTTTAGGTTTGGTAAACATGTTCTTGGAACTGTGTTTTTACAAGTATTTTGGGTTTGATTGAGGAGAACACCCATGCTTTTGATTGAGTTTGTGGAATGGAAGCACCATTTCCACATATATTTGGGCCCAGTCATGTGGTGGGTGGGCAAGACGCAAGACCTAAGTCACATGGACATAACGCAACCCACTATATATTTTTCCTTCCCTGCTTTAATTTCTAAATACCCTGATTGCATGTTTGTATTGGCTCTGAAGTCTGCATTTGGTTTTCTCCGATCTTTTATTCCTTGTTTTTAGATTCCGCAAAACAACTAAAACAAAGTCGTAGTGTTCAACTGTTAATACCAAAAAAGCCAAAAGAATGTTTGGAGGAGCTTAGGTTCATAGCAAATGTTTTGGTTCGGCTGCTTTGAAGAAACTATGGGAGAGGCATGCCTGGAGAGCTGCCTAATGGCTGTACAATGCTAAATTTGGTTCTCCAGGTTTTTACCAAACATCGCCTATAGGCTTTTTTGTAATCCAAAAAATCATTGGGTGAAATCCCTTTCAAGTCCCAAATGGACACTTAGGGGGCGTTCTTTTTTTGGATTTTGAAAGGGGGGAAAGTTGGTCAATGGGATTTTGGTTCCCATTGACCAAAAATCTCATGTTTTTTTTCTCAAATTTATGTGGGGACCAGAGAAAGTTTATTTTTCTGGGTATCCATCGCCTATAGGCTTTTTTCTCAAATTCAAAAAGGTTCAGGTAGGCGAGCCTGGAAAATCATGCAAACAACCTGAGAGCTAGGCATCCAGCCGGACATCTCCGAGACAACTGGAGGTTGTTTGCAAGATTTTTACTTTCAGGAAAACCCATCTCATAATAGACAATTCTTCAACTTGCCAACAGACAGCCGATTTGGGTCAGATTTTTTCACCAAACATAACTTAGGGCTATGTGTGTGGGGCAGAAGCGAATGTATAGAATTCCAACAGAGATCACATAGAGAACATCTATTTAGCAATAGATGTGGACTTGGTTATTTCACTGTTATCACCGTGATGGCACCATAAGCAGGGGTGTCAATTGGACTGGATTTGGTCTAACCCGATCCAATCCAATGTGAATCTATTTACAAATGGACTGGACCCAATCTAATACAAACCAAATCCAATCCAATCCATTAAAATGTAAATGGACTGGATTGAATTCAATCCAAACCGAATGAAATATAAAAAACAGAACATATAAAAAATTACAAAAATATATTAAGATGATGAAAATCTAAAGCATTAAAAATCAAAGTTTCTTCACAAAATGTTTTTTTTTTTAATTTGTTTTTTCTATAAATTAATCTTCTTCATCAAAGACTATCAATCTTCTTGATCTCAGAAAGTTCTTTTCTGCAAAATTTCACCTACATATGCGCTGTCAACCAGTACCTAAAAAATACAAAAAGGATAGTTCATCAAAATCCCACCATTGTCCAGCTGAGTTAACTAAATATTGAGTAAAACCTATAAAGCTTTCAATGGTAAGGTTGCCACCCCATTTTTTAACAGTAAATCAACCAAAAGTTTCCATTATTAGAAGAATTTATTTCCCTAATCTCATGAGCCAATTTCATTGGTCTGTAGCCTCGTCCTTAGTTCACCAAGTGGTATTAATAACCTCCACAACTATTGGTCTGATTACATTTTCATTGGAATTTTCTGATCTTGACAACAAGGCTTTTCATTAGATTTGTTTTTTCCTATGGGACTGTTATATGAAAACTGCCAAGTAATGTTGCCAACTCCATTCTAAGCTTCTAGTTGGCAGATCTTAAGGTCCATACGTACAAGGTTTTCGTTCTGGATCTTGGGACTCTTCAGTACTGCTGCTCATGCGTTGAGCTAAAAAAGTGAAGAAACATTCATCTTGAAGTAGAGGATTCTGAGAAATCATACAGTCATTTCCTCTTACAAATTTAAGATTTACCAGATTCACTATAAAGTCATTATATTGGTCCTTTTGGTTGTACATTTTTATGTTTTGAAATGAAAATGTTTTGTTAAAAAGGGCAGTATTCTATTTGTTGAGCTGCATTCTTTTGTTCTCATAAGATTCTTGGAGTCTGATCCCAAAATTGGAGAAAGTTATGATACAAGTCTTGGTTTGTTAAACCAAAGAGCTCTTAAGAGCTTAGGTCCATTCCTGCAACTAATTCAATCTAACTCTTTACCATTCATGGACCCTATAGAAGATAAATCAATGTATATCCTTGTAAAAACACAGAGGATAAGTGTGCCTTCTCATTTAATCGGTTTTAAAAATAGGATTTACTAAATCAAAACTCAGATTTACTGGATTTATTGAACCCCTTACAGCTAAAGGATCTTTTTCGGTACTTTACAGCAATGGATGGTTCCCTGATCTCTAAAGTTGTAATTAATAATCTTCAATAACTTCAAAAGGAGCATTTTGCAATATAATAAACAAAGGGTACCTTAAGATGAGAGCAGCTACAACTTGCACTTCATGTCAAAAAAGAAAAAAAAACCTTAAATCCTACAAAATCATTAAATCAGCAATCAATGAATCATGCAACAAGGAAGTCCATGAACAACTTTAGACTAATGAAGAAAAATAGCATGCTTAAGGAGCACTTATTTCTTCAAGTTCTGCATTTCTTAACAAGCCTGGCAGATTACAGGATTTACTTATGAATATCAAAGCCAAATAACCATGACTTTTTATTTTTCAAGACTATCATCATCTAACCATGTCCTATTTATAAGGGGTTGACTACATGAGTCCTGTGAATGACAGTTAAAGGCAACATGGACTGGATTGAACTGGTCCAATTCATTGTTCTTTTACTTAAAAGTGTAATGGATTAAGATAAGCTTGTAAAAATCTATTAAACTATTGAGGAAACCTTATCTCAATAAATGTATTGATTGATAATGCAAAGGACAACCATGTAAGAGCAAGAGACGACCAAAATGATAAAAGAGACCAATTCCATGCTCAACAACAACATCACCCCTAGAACACAAATAGAGATTGAAGCAAGTTCTGTATCAAAATCCAAAGATTTAATTCATCCCATCTCCTCCACAATCAAGCATTGCTCTAGATGGCCGAAAAAGAAAACTCAAAAAATTAAGAGATAACAAATCAGCATCCATATATTAGTGGGTCCAAACTTTGAATACAATAAAAGAAGGAAACAAATGAAAAAGAAAACAAAGAAGAGGTGAATGTGAACCTTACCCCACCCCACCCCCACCACCATGAACAATATATAATTTAAAAAGACAAAAAAAAGAAAGGAACTCTGTACCATTTTCCATAGTCTCACTACTCCCCCTACACATCCCTACCATCCTTTTCCCCTCCAAAACCGAGCTCTGATTAATGGATGACAGTCAAGCCACTGGTATAGTAGTCAAGGAAAAGTTCACTTCTGCTATAAACAGGAAGTAAACTTCTTCTCCAGGAGCCCACAAGAAAATTCAAATAGGAAGATGCCAATGCTATAAGGAAAACCAAACAATTACCTCTTAAGCTAACTATTTCCGCTTGATAGGAAAGAACCACTGAAAACGAGAAATCGTTTTCTAGATAGAATGTGTTTGCTGAAATACAACAGTAGAAGAGGAAGAAGAGAAGTGAAAAGAAGAGAAGAAGTTTGAGAATGGGCAGCAATCTGTTCTCAACCGGCCCTAAAGGCTATTATATATATATATATATATATATATATATATATATTTAACATGAATAGACTAAAATGCCCCTGATTAGTGATGGTACACCTAGGCATAATAAAATAAAATAAAATAAAGTAAGTTTAGGCCCAATAACTAAAGGACCATAACAGATTAAAGAACTTAAACATAAAAGATAAAATAAGTCCACCAACACTTAACCACTCGGACCAACACTCCCCCTCAAGCTAAGCATGGATGTCAATCATGTTTAGCTTGCCAAGTAAGACTAGGAACTTCATTGAAGATAGTCCTTTTGTCAAAACATCAGCAACTTGCAACTCCGAGGGAGTTAAGGAATGCAAAGTTCACCCGAGACAATTCTCTCTTATAAAGTGTCGGTTAATCTCAATATGCTTAGTCCTATCATGTTGTACGAGGTTATTTGCAATGTTGATGGTAGCCTTGTTGTCATAATACTACTTGAGAGGATCATCAACCTTCATCTCAAGCTCACTAAGGAGGGTTTTAAGCCACAATAGTTCTGCAACACCATGTGCCATAGCCAGATATTCAGCTTCTGCACTTGATCTTGTGAGCACATTTTGATTTTTACTTCGCCAAGTAATCAAATTCCCTCCAACAAATGTACAATATTCGGAAGTAGTATACGCTTCAATTTTAATTTTATTTTGCTTTTTGAACCAAATTCCTTTCCTTGGACATGTCTTCAAATACTTAAGAATCATTTCAACTGCTTTCATATGAGGAATCTTTGGAGAGTGCATGAACTGGTTGACAACATGCACTACATAAGCTATATCAGGTTGGGTAAGAGATAGATGTATCAATTTTCCTACCAACTTTTGGTATCTTTCTTTATCAAGGTAGTCCTTTCCAACCGATTCTTGGAAATAATGATTCTGCTTTATTGGAGTATCTGTTGGTCTACTCCCCATCATACCTGTCTCCTCTGGAAGATCAAAGACATACTTTTTTTGACGTATATAAATGCC